AAACGAGATACCTTCTGATGGTCATTCATGTTTATTTTGTGCTATAACTAGTAAAGAGGGCGAGATCATCTGTTCACGTGCTGTTTGAACTGAGGCGTTAATTATCTCGTTTAGTCCCTAGTATTTCCTTTAGGGCTGGGCGATTTTTCAGATTTTATTGATTAATTCGAATTTAATGTTTTACCTCAATTTTATTTTTTATAAATCAAAGAATTGCGATTTTGAAAAGAACTATTACCTTTCCACGTTGAAATTAGACACATTGACAGTATGCTAATGATGAGAGAAAAGAATGATCTGAGCGCAGGAAGGCACACATGATTAACCACTCATGTGACGCGCACTAGGAAGGAACGTAAGTAGAACATATTGCTGTAGGTGCTATTCACACAGAATGCGCTTTTGCATTGACAAAGATGTGGCGCGGGCAGTGGAATGGTAAAAAAAGACAAGGAGACGGGAGTTGAGCTCCTTTTAACTTGAGCGCCATGTTTGTAGAATGCCGTTTCATGCATGAGACGCTGCAAGACACGTGAGTGCAGTGGCCAAACACATCCATCAAGCGCATGTTTACATAGGGAAAAAAAACAATGGAAAAGCAGCGCAGTGGAATGAATAACCTGTAAAGAACTACTACTGTATGTCTGATATTTTATGTTTGCATGATGCTGACAGGCTGAAATCTGCTGTTATTTTCTTTGTTTTTTCAAAACATTTATAGTTAATAATAGTCTACTGATGTTATACTTGTAGTCATTTTGAATTTGAATTGCCTTGACTTTTGAGACTTTATATTATTTTTGTATTTAACAAGTGATTTGTTTTATATCTACACTATGTTGACAACTTCATGATGCGTTGTCATGATGTCTTAGAATAGAACTTTCTATAACTAGATGGTTAATAAAGAAAATACTACTTGAATCATGTTGTAGTTAAACTTTTAAAGGAGACATATTATGCCCCTTTTTACAATATGTAATATAAGTCTCTGGTGTCCCCAGAATGTGTCTGTGAAGTTTCAGCTCAAAATACTCTACAGACCATTTATAATATCATTTTGAAAATGCCTATTTTGAGTGGAAGCAGAAACACGCTGTTTTTCGGGCCTGTCTCTTTAAATGCAAATGAGCTGCTGCTCCCCGCCCCCTTTTCCAGAATATAGCAGCGCCATTAGAGCTCGGACCTGCTAAAAACATCTGTTATGGTTCTGATTATCATGTTTATCAAGCTGAAATCATGTGGTTTAAACCATAGGAGTTTAAACTTCTGATATACGGTTTTCTGAGAGCACACATCCGAAGCACACGGACAGAAAGCGGCTGTCACAGCATGTGAGTACTAAACTAAGTTCTCATTCACACACAAGTTTACGTTAAAAACACACATGAGTTAAAAAAAACAGTTGGTTATGTCTGTGAAGGTAAACTGCTTGGAAATAAATTGCATGTTTATTTTAGATCTAAATAGTGTTCTGTGCTCGTCTGTGCAGACAAAAGCAGAACAGTTAGTATGTTTTGCTCACTTTCGCCATTAGAGCTCGTACACCATTTTCTCTTGTGAAAACACAATGATGGCGCCGTGGGTGGAAACGTACATATTAAGGGGCGGTAATATTATAATGAGATCCCTTTGTCACGTCACCAAGGGAGCGAAATCAGACGCGCTCGTTTTCTCAGACGCTTGCAGAAAAAGGCTTCCCAAAACAAAGTTACTGGGTTAATGTTTTTCACGTTTCCTTGGTTGGTAGATGCACCGGGGACCTGATTATAGCACTTAAAACCTGGAAAAGTCAGATTTTCATGATATGTCACATTTAAGTGTAAAAATTGAAAATCGAGAATCGGTCGAACATTATGAAAGAAAAAGGAAAAAAAAGGAGAGATATTATTTTTTGCCTTATTGCCCAGCCCTAGTTTCCCTGTCTATTTATAGCCCTCAAATTCAATTTTTCCGGACCCTGTGTTTTATGATTAAATACAAATGTATTATCAAAAACGGTGGTAATCAAATAAATGCATAAAACTTTAACAACTTAATAAAATTTTTTAATTTAATCAAATGAAAATGTAACAATTCTTTTTGCTTTTTTTGGCAAACAAAAAGCTGCACAACAGGTTTACTTTTTTAAATTAAAACATGGACAAAAAATTTGATATTGTGTGATATTTCTTAAAATTAGGTTTTAGTAACTTACTTTGAGAAGTACATTCGACTATACAATAGTAATATATTTCTGTCAGCTTTTCTTCAACATTTGCAAAATTCTGTGGCTGGATTCCGCAATCTATATGTTTTTTGACAGAAAAGGGCTGAGAACATTTCAACGCACAGAAATACACAAAGCTAATTTTCTTCTGTCAGCCAGCTGCCCCACGAATCAGCACAGCTTTAGCAACTCACAAGCTCTCATGGGAAACAGGCTGGAAAAAAAGCCTTATCTGGGACTGATCAGAATGCAGAGAACAGAGCGATCTAGAAACCAAAGGCACGCTGAGAACGACAGCTCAGCTTCCAGAAAACAGAAAGTGAAGAAATGGACAAAGAATAAATTGTAAAACAGTACTTTTGTGTTTGTCACTTACACAACAGTGTAACGTGCCACATTGTTTATGTAGCACTCATGTTAAAGCGCCCCGAAGTAAGTCAGCCTAGCGCTACAAAAAAAGCGAGAAGAGGCTGGATTAGATGAATGAGAGAAGCCTGCCGTGAAGCTTTTTGCAATGCTCCTCAGCACTCCTTTCCATGTCCCTCTAACGCACTCACGTTGTACAAACATACAGCTTGCCTGAGCGCTGAAGGGGGCTTCGGCCTATCAGCAGGCAAGGCTGCTGCACGCATCACCGGAACCCAGGATCGCAATTGGCTGTCGGTGCCAAATAAGGCGGGACTAGATTATGTAAACAGCTTCTAAATACAGGGCGAGCAGTCAATCACAATCACTGCCTGCACACACGACATCACCAGTGAGGTACTGAGTGGCTGAGAGATACAGAGAGAGAGAGAAAGGTAGTGTGATGGAAAAAGACAAAGAAAATTGTAGGCAGCACAGGACCCTCTCTTAACATGCTGACGGCAGGGGTGCGACGAACAAAACAAATGACACAACAAAGGGTTTGGCTACCTTTATGAGCACAAACACCAGCTGCAGCATTTTAATGTTGATGGGTTAGTTCACCCAAACATGAAAATCCTGTCATTATTTACTCACCCTTATGTTTTAATAGAAAAAATAAAATAGAGCGCGTCAGATTTCGCTCCCTTGGTGACGTGGCAAAGGGATCTAATTATAATATTACCGCTCCTTCATCTGTAAGTTTACACCCACAGCGCCATCATTTGATTTCGCAAGCGACAACAGCGTACAGTTCTAATGCCATGGCGAAGGTTTGAGCAAAACACGCTAACTGTTCTGTCTTTGGCTGCACAGACGAGCACAGAACACCGTTTAGAGTCCCAGCCTCAGAGGAGACAAGACAGCCGTGGATTTATTGATTTATTTAATGTATATTGCTGCTGCCACACAGATCTACAATAAACATGCAATTAATATCCCAGCTATTAACCTGCACAGACATAACCGACTGTCTTTTGTAACTCATGTGTGTTTTTAACGTAAACTTGTGTGTGAACAAGAACTTAGTTTAGTACTCACATGCTGTGACAGCCGCTTTCTGTCCGTGTGCTTCGGATGTGTGCACTCAGAAAACCGTATATCAGAAGTTTAAACTCATATGGTTTAAAACGTAGGATTTCAGCGCGACATGATATTTAGAACCAAAACAGATGTTTTTAGCAGGTCCGAGCTCTAATGGCGCAGCTATATTCTGGAAAAGGGGGCAGGGAGCAGCAGCTCATTTGCATTTAAAGAGACAGGCCCGAAAAACGTTTCTGCTTCCACTCAAAATAGGCATTTTCAAAATTATATAATAAATGATCTGTGGAGTATTTTGAGCTGAAACTTCACAGACACATTCTGGGGACATCAGAAACTTATATTACATATCGTAAAAAGGGGCATAATATGTCTCCTTTAAGTTTCAAAAAATGAGTATTTCTGTGTTAAATACACTCCTTCTGGGTTTGTATAAGTTTTGGAAAGTTTTAGCATGGCCCTTCATGACGTCATGAAGGGGGGAATTCCTTGTATGGGCACTTCTCCAGGAAGAGTTCGCACACATCAACCAGAGCGAGAGCAAGAGCAGCGGATCAACGTGCTTCATTCGGGTTATGGCAGTCGTTGGCAGCGCTGCTCAGGACTTGCTCGAGAAGAATGTCTCCAAAGAAGTGTGTTTTTGGATGTGAGGGAAAGATAACCTTGTTCAGCTTCCCAAAGAACCCAGCGTTACGTGAACAGTGGATGCAGTTTGTTTTTCCAGGGCAGCAACGGAGTTTCGCAAGTGTGTTTGTTTGTTCCTGTCATTTCGGTGACAAATGCTTTAGAAGCAAGGCCCAGTTCGACGCTGGATTTGCAGATCGTTTGATACTGAAAGATGGCAGGCAGGCGGAGAGTAAAACTGCATCAAATTTCTGTGTTTTGTAGGCAATCGGCGCCTAAGTGCTCGCGACTCTTTAGCTCCGCCCACGGCACGCCTCCAGGAGCTCGGCTGTTTTCGAAGAGAATCGTAAAGCTGTATCTTTCATTATAAATCTGATAAAACTAAATCAAGACTCTTCGGAGATATGAAGGATGCAATACTACTATATAGATACTCAAGATTAACATGAGATTGGCCGAAACTGTGTGTGTTATGTCCCCTTAAATAGAGCGATTTATGGATAAAGGCCCATTTACACCAATGGACGATAACACTCTTGATTACAAGCATGGTGCAGTTTTGTCTCCTGCCGCTTTAAATGCTCGAGCTCTTTGAAGTCGGGTAGATTCTGATTGGCTGTCAAAGATTTTACCGTTTATCATCTAAAACAAACATTCTGAAAGTGATTCCAACAATATCGCAAATCACTAAGAAATGACATGCCACGTATGATGGACTAACCTGCACTTTAGACAGCTCGTAATGGTCCGCTTCAGGTCCGGGTAGGGTCTCTCTGGACGGTACGGCCCTGTACGCAGAACCAGATGCCAGACAGTCCTTTCCCAAATCATGTCCTTTCATCTTCTTTTACCAACATAGGAGCACTTTTGTTGCTTCAACTCTGAGCTTTATCTGGTCAAAGTCACCAAATCTGAACTGATGAGAGAAGGAATGGGTTAACATGAATGGAAATGTTACTCTTATTTCGCCCGACTCAGCACTGATCGAGCACATTATATGCACAAATTCCATTTTTTCCCTTTTACGCTTTAAAGTCTGACAAGATGGTATTGTTGTTGGGAAATTATTGTATGGAAAAACATTCAAATAGACCAATCTGTCCAATATTGTTATCTAATGACATTAGCATAAGGTCATTTTTAGTAGGCACTTTCAGTTGCCTTTTTAGCCATCATTTGGCCAGGCTAAGTAAGTGCATTCCTTTTTGAATTTCACGAAAACATCACGTCAGACTAAAATCAAATGAAAATGACCATAAAGATCAGGGACGGATTATCCAATGGACATTATGGCCACGGGCCCAATTTTAAAAAGACACGATCGGTGCAACATATTCAGTGGAGTAGGCAGAAGAGAGTAAGACTCTCAGAAACGGCTTTTGATGCGATCGAATCCGCCTTCTTACAAGCTATAAATCATAATTTACACTCTATGTTATTATTACATCCTGTTAAAGGCACAATATGTAATTTCCGCCGCTAGAGGGCGCGTATTCAAAATAAACAAAGAAACAAAGGTGTAGTTTGATGATGCCGTGACTGAGTGTGGAATCATGGGAGTTGTGGTCTTCATCCCCACAGCCGACGCAATCCGACGGGACTCGGGCAGAAATCATGTTCATGGATGAGCTAATGATTTATTAACGTAGTAGAATAAAGCAGGGTGAGGCTGAAAGCCGTCGAAGCCAAAATTGCTTATTTCTCTGGATTTAAACATTCTTCGAAACATTTGGGATAAGGAAAGTACACAAGTCAGCAAAATATACAACACTGTTCTAGTGGTTTTTGGATATTTTAATAAAAAAATCTTACATATTGTGCCTTTAAAGTTCAAAAATACTGAAGTGCAAATAGTATCTGCCAATATAAAGTATAGATAGCATAATTACTATTTACACTTATTGCAAAGATTGCTTCTTGTCCAGGAAAGTATTATTGCAATCAAGTGGTGTAAATCTTGTATGATGGAGAATATCTACAGGTGTTGATATTGTCCTTCAGGTTGTGATCTGTAACCTGTCAGTGTAACAACAAATATTACCCTAGAATTAAAAACGTTGATTGTGCGCGGGTGTGGGGGGGTCCGACAAGACATTGTGCCCAGGGGCCTCTGATTTCTTAATCCGGGCCTGATAAATATTTTCATGACGACTAACCCAGTTTTCACTCAAAATTATCTTGACTATAATGCATTCATACGTTTTGCCATTCCTTTTAGCCATTTTTATTGCATTAGAGTAAATAAATATATTAAATACAATTTATTTAATTCAAATATGCATAAATGAAGAGCACAAAAGCAAATACTATCATGATGTATAAATACTACATATTTATACTTGTTTTTAGACTTTATTGCTTTACGGTAATGAAAATGAGGGGAAAATGTGCTCTACTGTATGTATTAATGCCATAATGAAACACAACTTAGCAGTCTTTCATTAAGGCGAAAGATAGTGTATTATTTCTTTCTTTTATGCGATATGCCCGAACATGTTCTTGACGGGTTTCACGTGATTCACCCTGCGATGACCAAAAATGTGGTTAGGTTACTATTAGTGCATTAATGATGTTGATGCACTCACTAACTTTTTACACACGGCCAATATTTTGACATTACCGGACAGTTATGACGCTGTCGTGAATGAATGTACACATTAATATATTGATCTATAAAGCGAGAGAGCGGCGTTTATCTGGCGAATATCCCATTGCGCGTTGACTAACAGCTACATTCTCGGAAGACACAATAAAAACACAAATGATGTCTACATTAGATGACACTGGATAAGCTGTGTTTATTTGAGTGCAATAGGCCCCGCATCTCCTCTAACGTTAACCAGAAGAGAAGAAACAGTTCCCGAAAAGATTGAAAACAACAAACCACACGGGTTTCATTCAAAGACATCTACAGGCATTTTTTTTTTTTTGACTAAACAAACCACGGGTTTTATATAGATATATATTTTACATTACCCAAAAGGTTTTTATTGTTATTGCAAAGAGCACACTTTAAGTAATCCCATTCTTATTGTAATAATCCCATCAGTGCCTTTTTAGATCATAATTTCCCACTTAATTTTGTTGCATATATGCATCCTGATCTGGATTATAATTAAACATCACGCATTAATATCAATTGCATAAATTTGTTTCCATATCCCGACTAAATAGAGCGCATCATCAGAACTACTGAGACAATAGATGTCACCTACATCAGGATATAACACAAAGAGAAAGACGATGTCCATCACAGCAGCGCATATTCACATGATAGACGCGTTATTTGTTTAATCTTCTTAAAAGTCAATATAATAATTTGCCATGACAGGTCAAATGATGCTAAAATCAGAAACAGTTCAAAAAAATGTAATTATGGTGTCAGAATTACAGATGTGTCGCATGCAAAGTATACTACAATAAATCTTATTTTACATATCAAATAAAAGATAAAAGTGTCCACTGCACCAGGTACCTGCTCGTCTGGTTGGTCTGCGGATCTTCAACAACACAACAGCGGATGGAGATGAACAACTTCGTTACAAACCAGTTATTTGAAGGACTCGGATGGACCCCGTTATGGGAAATGTAGTGCAATGAGCGTTCGTTACAACTGCATATCGTATAAGTGGCGAGTAAATGGAACTACATTACCCACAATTCACTTCCCCTTGAACGCGTCAACGCTCTGTCAGTGGGCGGGGCTTATTGCGCGATGGAAGGCGACGCGCATCCTCTGCAGTCAAACACTAGTATTACAGTGTGGTAAAAAGCGTAGGGCTCTGGGGTGGAATTTTACCATTCCAGAAAGTACAGTGCGATGATGATACTGCAAAATATGCGGACATTATTCCTCTCGTTTCACTGTTTCATCGGAAATTACACCTGACGCATATTAACCCCTTACAAGCTGAATTATGCAAAAATATGTCCATGCATTTCCTCTCTACATACAGCCACAAATTATTTAAAGTACCCCTATTATGGGTAATGAAAGGTTCATATTTTGGTTTTGGGAGTCCCCGACAACAGGTTGACATGCATGCAAGGTCAAAAAACACTTTCATTGTCTTATAATATGCATTTATTTTTATCTTACTTGCTCAACGTCTCCCAAAGGATTCACTCAACGATTCATTTTTCCAAAGCCCTCCTTTGCGTGACGCTAATCTGCGGTGAATGGTCCGATTGGTCTCATTTTCATTTCATCATGCCTGTAATGCCTGATAAACCAGCGTTTGTGAGCGCAGTGCTGCTTTGTGTACAGCGTTACTGGGGAAACTATTTTTACTTCATTTTAAGACTCCTTTCAATGATTCAGAGTCGACTCTTTCTTTTGAGAGACAATAACTTTATACACGGTGCACTTTCAGATTTAAAACTTTGCAGGATGTTTTCATGCATTTAGAGCTGTTACACACTGCATGAAAGGTAATTTTCAAAAATCCATAATAGCGGCACTTTAAAATATCAGTATATTAAATATCAGTTTGTTATCCATATAATAATAAATTTGCTGCAAGTTTGATTGGAGTTGATTTGTTGACATCAAAACGGTTAATTATAAATGAACTCAAATCATTGTAGATTCAGGTTATTAACACACAAAACGAATGTGCATTTAATCTATCTATCTATACAATGAAAAGTAGCTGGAATTACAATCATTTCAAATTTCATTGGATAGACATTTAAAAGCTAATATTACATGTAAACAGGTAAGTGTAAACATACATTTTTTACTAAAGTCACTTCCCATCTTCAGTAAAAAAAAATAAAATAAAACTATTGTTTTAGTTTCAAGATATAAATATTAAAGTTAGAATCATGCCACATTTGTCTGCCCAACCTCACAGGACACCATTTTTATATATTTATTTAGTGTATGTGTGGGTAGCCTCGACAGTGACTGACACACTAGATCCATCTTATGTACTGTATATTCAATGTATAAAACTCACACTTTAGTTTGCATTAACAGACTACACAAACTAATTTAGTCAAATGAAGACAGGTAAATGTCACTGTATGGAGTTTTTTACAAGCTCAGCAGTTGCTCTGGTTTACCAAAAAGTCAAATGTCCCATCGCTGTCTCCTGATCTAGAATAAACCCAGACAAAATGTTCTTGTAAGTGCTGTAATTTCCCTTAATTGTGCTCTTTTCAGATGTTTCTACTGGAGCATCAGTTCCGCTGCAAATCTGGCTTGAAACAACAGTACATTTCTCAGACGTTGCTCTACTGAAAAACTGGGCAGAAAATTGCAAAAGCTAGCAAGATTTCGAAGTGGTTGCAGAAACTATCATACTTTGTAATACCAAAGAAAGACCAGAAAGGCAACTTTTTGGACCAATTTTTTATTGTCTGTACACAAAAGCATGTTACACACGAGATGGGTACAGCATCTGAAAAACAAAAGCAAAAAGTTAGCTAATTGTTAATACTTGCTTCATTACAAAAAAAAGCTGCGTTTCATGCATTTTGCCACAACCGTACGGACAGTCATCATGGCTCAATCTATTCACAGGAGTGAATTCAAAGTAACACATTTACAGCATCAAGTCATGCATCAACAACTGTACATTCCCCTTTTCTGAAACTTGAAGATTATAAAAGACAAGAGAACACATTTGTGCCATACCTTCATACGTCAGGGGTGTTCTATCCTGCTCCTGGAGGCCCGGGGTACTGCAGAGTTTAGCTCCTACCCCAATTAAACACACCTGAACCTGCTAATCAAGCTCTTACTAGGCATAGAAAAATCTACCAGGGTGTGTTGAGGCAAGTTGGTGACGAATGTGCATTTAATCTATCTATCTATACAATGAAAAGTAGCTGGAATTACAATCATTTCAAATTTCATTGGATAGACATTTAAAAGCTAATATTACATGTAAACAGGTAAGTGTAAACATACATTTTTTACTAAAGTCACTTCCCATCTTCAGTAAAAAAAATAAAATAAAACTATTGTTTTAGTTTCAAGATATAAATATTAAAGTTAGAATCATGCCACATTTGTCTGCCCAACCTCACAGGACACCATTTTTATATATTTATTTAGTGTATGTGTGGGTAGCCTCGACAGTGACAAAAACACTAGATCCATCTTATGTACTGTATATTCAATGTATAAAACTCACACTTTAGTTTGCATTAACAGACTACACAAACTAATTTAGTCAAATGAAGACAGGTAAATGTCACTGTATGGAGTTTTTTACAAGCTCAGCAGTTGCTCTGGTTTACCAAAAAGTCAAATGTCCCATCGCTGTCTCCTGATCTAGAATAAACCCAGACAAAATGTTCTTGTAAGTGCTGTAATTTCCCTTAATTGTGCTCTTTTCAGATGTTTCTACTGGAGCATCAGTTCCGCTGCAAATCTGGCTTGAAACAACAGTACATTTCTCAGACGTTGCTCTACTGAAAAACTGGGCAGAAAATTGCAAAAGCTAGCAAGATTTCGAAGTGGTTGCAGAAACTATCATACTTTGTAATACCAAAGAAAGACCAGAAAGGCAACTTTTTGGACCAATTTTTTATTGTCTGTACACAAAAGCATGTTACACACGAGATGGGTACAGCATCTGAAAAACAAAAGCAAAAAGTTAGCTAATTGTTAATACTTGCTTCATTACAAAAAAAAGCTGCGTTTCATGCATTTTGCCACAACCGTACGGACAGTCATCATGGCTCAATCTATTCACAGGAGTGAATTCAAAGTAACACATTTACAGCATCAAGTCATACATCAACAACTGTACATTCCCCTTTTCTGAAACTTGAAGATTATAAAAGACAAGAGAACACATTTGTGCCATACCTTCATACGTCAGGGGTGTTCTATCCTGCTCCTGGAGGCCCGGGGTACTGCAGAGTTTAGCTCCTACCCCAATTAAACACACCTGAACCTGCTAATCAAGCTCTTACTAGGCATACTAGAAACTTCCAGGCAGGTGTGCTGAGGCAAGCTGGAGCTGAAGTCTACAGGTCACCGGCTCTCCAGGACTGAGTTTGGCATGCCAAGTACAAAGATCTCCCAAAACCTCTTCTCAGGTGTGCGTGTTTCTTATGCTAAAAAAGCTGCCACATGTGAAAGAACTACAAAACCCCACCATGACCCTGAGGAAGGCAAAAGTTCAACTCCAAGTTGCTCTAGTTGCACTGTTCTTGCACTCATTGAATTTGGAAATGCTCTTTTCTCAAGGTTCTTCCTTTCTAGCATAACTCCTAACCTAAACTCACATTTGCAGTTAAGGTTAAATGCAGTTTCTCAGATACACATTTCACCGCAGGAAGATCAGTTAATACTAGGGATGCTCCGATCAGGATTTTTGCAGCCGATACGGAGTACCGATTTCTTGTCATGGTGATCAGCCGATACCAATGCCGATTCTGATGCTTCAAGCTTTAGATGGTTTCATCAGGCGTATGCACCTGTCCCGAAGTTAACTTCTGGTCTGCGTTTGTTTATCAGTCTGGCTATGGCGCCGGCTACAAACACAGTTAAAGTTAAGGTGATGAGTAGACTGAAGTTGGGCCCAGGTGGTTGTGCTGTGGGATGCGTTTCCCATACAATTATTTATTTGTGGCGCTCGCCACAATATCAAAACTAACCGATTTTCCAAAAGGCTTCGTTGAATAAACATGAGCACGT